ATTCTTGTGTGTTTTTTTCTTCTGTGTGAGATTATTTGTAAAAAACTTCATTTGGGGAAATGGTTGTTGAAGTTTTATAGAGACCCTCTGCATGTGCTTCCTTGTTTTTTCATGCTTCTGTACAGCTATGATTCCCCCTTGCAAATCTATATTACAACATTTACAGAAGAAATGATGGTTTCCTAATTTGCTGAGTTGAATCCATCTGAATTTATTTTCCCAGTTTGGATTGAATTTATGCTTATATGAATTGAACCTAGACTTCTTCCCTTTGTCTTTCTTCTGGTCAGTTTCCTCTGTTGATTCTGAATCCAGAGGGGAGTGATCAACTGCTAAGAATATTACAGCGATAAATAAACTTGAACTTCGTACAGTTTAGGAATCATCAATTCATATTCAATTAATTTTGTTCCAAATTTTGGTTTCACAATTTTAATAGTACCGTATGGGGTGACTTGAAATCGTGTGGTGACTTGAAATAAAATGCAGTGAAAATTTTGAAGTAGTGGCAACGTCGCATGTCAACGGAAGAAGCTAAACTAGTCTTTCAGTCTCATTCTACAGGTTGTCGACGAGACATTGTGGTAAATAACAAGTGCGTGATAGTCATAGTGTACAGTGGGTAACTCTTTGATATCAGGTAAACAAATTACGTAATTTTATACCCTGCATACTTCTGTCTGTGCAATAAATTGTATAATTACGAGCATGCCCTAGTATTTTTTTCTGGCCTGTCCCAAGATATTTGTCAATGTTTTGCATCGAAAATAATTTTTAAAACCTACTCTTGAACAGTGGCGTATCATTTTTTTTTTTTTTTACTTTTAGGGGTGACTTGAAAATCGTGTGGTGACTTGAAATAAAATGCAGTGAAAATTTTGAAGTAGTGGCAACGTCGCATGTCAACGGAAGAAGCTAAACTAGTCTTTCAGTCTCATTCTACAGGTTGTCGACGAGACATTGTGGTAAATAACAAGTGCGTGATAGTCATAGTGTACAGTGGGTAACTCTTTGATATCAGGTAAACAAATTACGTAATTTTATACCCTGCATACTTCTGTCTGTGCAATAAATTGTATAATTACGAGCATGCCCTAGTATTTTTTTCTGGCCTGTTCCAAGATATTTGTCAATGTTTTGCATCGAAAATAATTTTTAAAACCTACTCTTGAACAGTGGCGTATCATTTTTTTTTTTTTTTTACTTTTAGGGGTGACTTGAAATAATGCCTAGAAACTACAAAAGGCGCTTAGGCGCTAGAAATTACCGGAATTATACATTGGAGTCACTGCAGCAGGCTGTTCGGGACTACCAGAATCATCAAGGGAGTCTCGAAGCTATTGGCGAAAAATATGGAATTCCAGCTGCCACTTTGTATCGTAAGGTGAAACATTTACACCAAAAATCACCAGGTGGTCAAACTATATTATCGACTGTTGATGAAAGTGCAATTGTAAAATCTATTGCATTAGCTGCTGACTGGGGATTCCCGTTGGAATGCGACGACATAAGAGACTTAGTTAAAAGTTATCTAAATAGACGAGGTCTTACTGTTTCAATATTTCGCGACAACATGCCGGGAAGGGAGTGGTACCTAGGCTTTTTAGCAAGACATAAAGATGTTCTTTCCAGCAGACTCTCACAGGCTATTAAACAAAGTCGGGCAAAAATAAGCCCCCGAATTATTAACCAATACTTCGATAATTTAACATCCTTATTACGCAATGTTGAGCCAGAAGCCATCGTAAATTACGACGAAACAAATTTCACGGATGACCCTGGACGTGTAAAAGTTGTCGTTCGACGAAGGAGCAAAAGGGCTGAAAAAATTATGGATTCGTCAAAGGCAGCAACATCTGTTATGTTTAGTGTTTCCGCTTCAGGAAAAATGCTCCCTATATACGTTGTGTATAAGGCTGATCACGTCTGGTCAAGTTGGATGGAAAACGGTCCACCTAAAGCCCGTTACAACAGAAGCAAGTCAGGCTGGTTTGATACCAACTTGTTTGAAGAATGGTTTGTGACAGTAGCCCTACCATATTTTAACTCTTTACCAGAAGGGCCAAAAATACTAATCGGCGATAATTTGGCAAGCCACATCTCAGTTCAAGTCATCTCTTTATGCGCCGAGAACAATATACAATTTGTGTTACTACCGCCAAATAGTACGCACTTGACTCAGCCTCTGGATGTCAGTGTCTTTCGCCCTATTAAAAATGCTTGGCGCAAAATTCTGCGGATCTGGAAAAGAAGCAACAGAGGTGTCGTGCGCAAAGATGTATTTCCGCGGCTTTTAAATCAGGCTTTAAATAGTATCGACAGTCAAAATGCTGCCAATATTCGCTCTGGTTTCGAAAGCACCGGCATTTTTCCTGTGTGTAGAGAGAAAATCTTGAAAAAACTTCCAAAGGAAGTTCCTTCAGAACGGGAAGCAGATCAGAAACTAGCGCTTCAGATGCACTGAAAGAGCTTTTCCAGCAGGCCCGTTATGGAACCAGCGCGACTTCAAAGGGAAGAAGGAAAAAACTGGATGTACAACCAGGGAAAAGCATCGCACTTGAAGATATTGCACCTAATCCACAAAAATCTGACGATGCAACTAAGAAGGACAATAGCACGAAGCCTGGTCCTTCAAACCCCTCAAAACAAAAAGCCAAGAAAAAAACTAGAGTTCGTCCAGAATCTGAAACAGAGGAAGAAGAAGATTGGGATGAATTTGTGGAGAGAAAGCGTCCCAGGTCAAGACGATTCAGTGATAATACCTCAGATGATGAATCGGTTTTATTTGAAAGTGACAAGGAGAATAGTCCTCTTTCAGCCACTATAGCTGAAAATGAAGAAACCGAGGAGACGGATCAAGATGAACCAGAAAACTCGTCAAGTGACTACCAGGAGAACGACTTTGTTATAGTCGAACTGAAATCGGCAAAGAATATCTCCAAGAAGTTTGTAGCAAAAATCGTAGATACTACCGAAAATGATTCCTTTGTCGTTTCATATTTAAGAGCACATTCTAAAATAGAATTTACATATATTTTTCCTCCAGTACAGGAAGAATCATTGGTCGATAAAAGAGAAATTATAAGAAAACTTCAGTCTCCAAAAATATTAAGAAGAGGGTCATTGAAGTTCCCAGGACTTCAGTTATAAGTGTCTAGTTACCATACTTATCTCTCTAAGTTGCATTTGTGAGTGTCTAGTTATACCTTACCTCTCTAATGATTTTTTGTTCATTTTTGTAGTTTTTTATCTTTTTTGTATTTTGCTAAAAAATATTTGTTCTAAAACACAGTGTTTTTTTATGAAATTGATGATTTCTATATATTTTTTATTTAATTTTCATTTCATGTCACCACCTAGACCATCCTACTTGAAATAATCGTTGATAAGAAGTCATATTTCAAGTCACCCCATATTGGGGTGACTTGAAATATGACGTTTGACATTTTTTTTTTCGAAAACTACACTATATAGAAACGGTTTTAATGTATCGTTCTGTTCTTTAGGGTCGAAAGAGTTGGTGACTATTTTTAGTTTGGTTGAAAGTTGCATGGTAAGGTCGCAATCTATGGAAGTGTGTCAAAAATCTTATCAAGTCACCCCATTCTACGGTAATGTAATTTGGTATTTCTTCTTTGGTTAAAACTTGTTTTCTTGTTTACTTGTTGAAAGTTCTCTTTTGTAGTTTAAAACCATCATAGAGTTGGTTGGAACACAACACACTAAACACAACCTGTGGGTTTGACTTATTGAATTCTGTGGGTCTATGGTGTTTATGGTTAGTGAATTGAGGTTACACTTCTGTTCTTCTATATTTCCTCGATTTCAGTTGTTCAGTTATTCACTGCTGTCGAATGTAACAGTCTTCTTCTGTGTTGAGAGACATTTATCCTGACATTATAAAAAATCACCAGAGTTGACAGTTGAATGAAAAATAATCACATAATGACCAGATTGACATGAAAATCACCAGATCTGGTTATAAATCACCAGTACTGGCAACACTGCAGCACCATCATCCAGTTGTCTAATCGATTCTTCACATGCAATCTCTTCAACATTTGATGCATTTGGTTTGTCATCTGCATACACAATCTCGAGTTCTTCAATATTCTCAAGATCCTCAATATTCTGCCATTCATCTTCCGATACCGCTTGAGAAGATTCATCCCCCTTATTATGGAATCCTTCTTCTTTAGTATTATAGAAAACCCTTTTTACTACCACTTCTCCACAAAGCAACAACAAACTCTTCTCTGTTTCTTTCAATTTTTCTCCAATTCTTGCTCTTCTCCTAACACTGCTTCTCCATTCAGTGAAAGTCTATAATAATATTTATTAGTCAATCAATAAGTGCTATCGATTGAAAAATCGAGTGTTTCATAGCCTACATTCCTCACCTTGTTTATAGAAAGAACTTACTTTTTTCCAATCTTCTGTTGACTTAACAGCCCCACTGCCACAAGCGTTCAGTTTTTTTGAAAGTGTGTTCCAATCTTTAATGAATTTTTCAGAATTCTCACTGGTGATTTTTTCCAATCTGAATTCATCATTTTCCTTCAAGAATTGAATGATGATTTCATATTGCTCTTGTGATGTCCGTGCCCCCTTTTCTTCTTGTCCATTGTTCTTGGTGGATTTAATGCAGCGATCGTCTTCGTTCAGTTCAGTTTCACTGTTTTGTTTTTTTATTACTTTTAATTTTCAGGTCAAATTGAGGAAATGTTCATGAAAAGTAGATGTTTTATGGTTCTATGTCAGATCTTGAAGATTTGCTGTAGCAAATTGTTAATTTATCATGTCTAATATTTCGCCGGAGCGTGAAAGACGGTTCGTGTTAATCGCGCTCTCGCTAAAGTAACCGTTTGAGCAGGCTATACTAACTAGAAAATTATAATTTTGATACCATCATATCGAGAAAGTGATCCTCGAGTCATAGTGTTATTGTGATAACGAATTTCATCTGATTGACTGATACATTGATTAAATAAGTGTTAGTAATGAGTAAACAGTGTCGTATTTGTACTGAAAACGTGGGTAGAAAAAAACCCGGGATACAGTGTAGTGGTTTTTGCGAAAGGTTTTTTCATGGAGACTGTCTCGGCTTCGGCAGTAAACAGCTGGACAGCCTACGTGTAGACGGAATAACTTGGAAATGCAACGATTGTCGCAGTACTGAATCACACTCCCGATATTCGCTTACTGCTGCCGCGACCATGGATACTGCATCTCCACTTACCACGAAACAGCAGAAGCAAGACGTTCGCTCTCGTTCTGATGATTCTCTCACTGGAGATAACGTTAGTAACAGGGATCTCTTAGCAGCAATGGATAATATGACTAAGGAGCTCCGCGCATTCCGCGAACAGCAAGTTGTCTTATCTAACTCTGTCTCCTTTTGCTCAGACAAGGTGTCTGACTCTGAAGAAAAACTAAATAAAATAAACGAATGGATGCGAGCTACCGATAAACTATTGAAAGAAAACACGAAATTAAAAACGGACATCGCGAACTTGGAGTCCAAAGTGAATGATTTAGACCAGGCAGGTCGTCTGAACAACATTGAAATTCAGGGAATCCCTGAAAAAGCAAATGAAAACTTGAACACCATTGTACAAAAAATATGTAATTACATCGAGTTCGAAACTACACCAGATAAAATCGAATATATACACCGTGTTCAACTGAATAAAAATTCCACCAACAAAATTAAAAATATAATTCTCCGGTTCGGTTCACGCAACGAGAAGGAAAAATGTCTCGCTGCCGCGAAACAAAAACGAATGAAGAGAGATAATGGCTCTTCAAAAATGGAAATTGAAGGAGTATCAGACAACTTTTTCATCAACGAGCACCTCACTCTACACAACAAAATTCTGTACAAAGAAGCCAGACTAGCGGCAAAACAAAATAAATATAAATATTCGTGGACCAAAAACGGAATGGTTTTTATCCGCAGAGATGACACCTCCCGTATTATTCACGTGAATAACACAAGCATCCTGGAGAAGCTATGAAGCAACAAACCTATTATTATTTCAATATCATCATAGTTTGAGACAATGGCGGAAAATTTGCATATATACTACCAGAACACACAAGGCCTCCGTACTAAGACCAATACATTCTATCATAACCTAGCAGCAAATGACTATGACGTCATTTGTTCAACCAAAACATGGCTCAATAGTAGTGTTCTCTCAAACGAACTTTTCAACAACAACTATTCAGTTTACCGCAGGGACCGCGAATCTTCTGCGTCGGAAAAACAAGACGGAGGAGGTTCTCTGATTGCAGTTGAAACAACTTATCAATCTAAACGTCGTGCAGATCTAGAATCCGAAGCAGAAGACATCTGGGTATCCATCGAGAAAAATAAAAGTGAAAATGTTTTAGTGTGTTGTGTTTATATTCCACCCAATTGTAATTATTCTATGACTTGTTTCTCAAGTAAACTTCTTTCACACGAAAACCTCCTACAGAAGAATGCTGCCCTAATCGTCGGAGACTTCAATCTCTCTTCTGTAAGTTGGTTACCTATCAATAATGAAGTATTTTACGAACCCATTCAAACAGGGAACAAGTTTTCTGAGATTGTTGATGCATTTTCTTATAACTGTTTTATGCAATTTAATCATGTACATAATGAAAATAACAAGATTCTCGATTTAATCATCTGCAACAAGAACCTCATATTGAATGTTAAACGTTCATCCGATTGCCTTGTTGAAGAAAACCACAATCATCATGCCATAGAGTTCGTATGGGGGATGTCTTGCTCAAAACCGCTTGCCACGCCCGATATACAAATATATAACTTCAATAAAGCTAATTTCGATTCCATCAATCACCACTTTTCACAAATTAATTGGGAGCACATATTAGTTGGGAACAACATATTGATATCATCGTAGAAATCTTCCACAATATCATAAATTATGCTATACAGAAATTTGTCCCTTTCCGAAAAATAAAAGGTCGTTTTCCAAGTTACTTTAAATACGAAACCATAAAAATAATCCAAGAAAAAAATAGACTACATAAAAAATTCAAAAAATACAATGACCAAAATGCCTTCAACAGATTTTGCGAACTTCGTACCCACTCTAAACGATTGATAAGAAGGGACTACAGTAATTACGTAGAGAGTATGGAATCAGAAATTCAACATAATTCCAAAAAGTTTTGGAATTTCATCGCCAGTAAGAGGAAAAACAATATCTCTATTCCACACACAGTCGAATACGATAATATTACAGCTAATGGAGGCACGGATGTCTCCAACTCGTTTGCAAACTACTTCAGTAGTGTTTTCGTACAACCAAACTCTATAAAAACCATCAACCCCAACAACAGGGATAGTCATACGGATCCTGTCACACAAGACCAAATATCTGATATAATTAGGGAATTAAACACCAATAAATGTGCAGGCCCGGACGGGATTCCCCCTATGTTCATAAGAAGATGCATGGAAAATCTCAGCAAACCACTAAGTATCATATTCAGTTTATCTCTTAATAAAGGAGTTTTTCCAAAAAAGTGGAAAATTGCTGAAATCACTCCAATTTTCAAGAGCGGTGAGAAACAGGACGTGAAAAACTACCGTCCAATTAGCAAGTTGTGTGTGTTTGGTAAAATGCTCGAAAAAATTGTCTATAACCGAATCCTACCGGGTGTCAAAAATATCATTATAGAAGAGCAACACGGATTCCTTCCAAAACGCTCGCTAGAAACCAATCTTTTGTGCTTTTCCGAGTATGTATCTGAGCAAATAGACAAAAAGTCTCAAATTGACACTATATACACCGACTTCAGTAAAGCCTTCGACAAAATCGACCATCTATTATTACTAGAGAGACTTTCTGAAGCAGGTGTGAGCAACTCACTTATCAAATGGTCTGAATCTTATATTTCTGACAGGCAAAGTAGAGTATCGGTTTCTGGTCACAAATCAAACCCCTTCAAGGTGACATCTGGCGTCCCTCAAGGCAGTCATCTCGGTCCACTATTTTTTAATATTTATATTAATAACATAAAATTGTGCTTCAAAAATTGCAACATTCTTCTTTATGCGGACGATTTAAAAATATACCGCAAAATAGAAACCTTGGATGACTGCCTCAAAATACAACAGGACATCGACAGACTCGAAACATACTGTCGCAAGAACCAACTCTTTTTGAATGCATCGAAATGTTTCAACATATCCTTCACTAGAAAACTCAATAAATTAAATTTCACGTATCAAATTAACAATCGGACCTGAAGCGTGTATCTGAGATAAGAGACTTGGGAGTGACCCTTGATGAGAAATGGTTGTTCAAAATACATATCGAAAGGACGATAAATTCTGCTAACAGAATGGTTGGTTTCATAAACCGAAACTCGAAGGACTGACTTCAATCATTCCAATGCGCTTATCTCACTATACTACGCTTTCGTTCATAGTAAAATATCTTTTGCCTCAGTCATTTGGAACACTCAATATACAACTTACACAAAACGGATCGAAAGTGTCCAAAACAGATTTTTACGATCCCTCGCATTCAAAACACACACAACTATCGAAGATCACAACTACCGTATCATCAGATCCAAACATAACATACTGAGCTTATCAGATAGTAGAGTTGTAACAGACCTATGTACGTTTCATAAAATACTGAATTCCTTAATAGACTCGCCATATCTTTTGTCTAAAATCAATTTCAGAATCCCTAACAGATCCTCCCGAAATACGGACCTATTTGCAATTTCGTACAGCAGGACGAATGTAGGACAGCATTCTTTTCTGAATAGAATGCATAATATTTTTAACAGATATTGTAATAATCTCAACATAGACATTTTCTCAATATCACTACATAGATTCAAAACGATCCTCAAAAATCAGTTCACTCGAAATCGTCAATCATAGTTTTCTATAACTAAATATATAATACTCGATATAATATCTTTACTCGATTTATGTATATCTTTTGTATTGTTCATCAAGACTTGTTAATGTTTCTATATCTTCTTTCACATCATGTACTTCGAATTTCCTTTGCTAACTATATAACTGTTGTATAACTTGCCTCACCACGTAGCTACAATGTGGATGCTATTTTGGTACTTTGTACTGTATGCAACCTAAAATCCTAAATAAATAAATGTCTTCAACTAATAATAACAAGTGAGAGACAAGAGTTCGGAAATATTAACAAGTTGTTAGTGTAGTTGTTAATATATTGTTAAATTAACAATGTTGTCCGATTAACAAGTGTCACGAAAGTAAGGCTGTTAGACTTCAGAGACTAAGAATCACATTACAAAATTATTCATTTTCGGTCAAATACAAACCAGGTTCGCAACTTCATTTTGCAGATGCATTATCAAGATCAAGTTATGATGATGAAAATTTTGATTTTTGTGTATCTGATTTAGATGCTCAGGTAGGGTTGATAAACGTTGGTGAAATAAGTCCACAAAAATTCGAAAAAGTAAAAATTGAGACGAACAAGGAACAGGAACTACAAGCTCTGCTTCAAATGATAAAGGATGGTTGGTCAAATATTAAAAAGCAATTGAATAGTTGAGTAACTCCATATTGGTACTGCAGAGACCAACTGGTGGAAAATAATGGTGTCATATTTAAAGGGGAACAAATGGTTATTCCAAAATCTTTGAGATCAGAGATGTTTGAGCGTTTGCACTATAACCACATGGGTATAGTAAAGACTAAGCTTAGAGATCGTGTATCGATTTTTTGACCTTTTATGGACAAAGAATTAACAGATAAAATTCAAAATTGTCCTGCATGCTTAGTTTTTCAGAATAGTCAAGCAAAAGAGACCTTAACAAATAGGAACTTACCTAATCTTCCATGATATGTTGTCACAGCTGATTTATTTCACTTTTGACAATGAAGAATTTTTACTATTTGTAGATGTATATACAAAATACCCAGAAGTTTGTTGTTTGAATACAAATTCAACACATGATAATATTATTCATCATACAAAATCAATATTTGCAAGACATGGTGAACCTTATTGTCTTTACACAGATAATGGTCCTCAATTTGTAAATAAACCAACTCAAGAATTTTTGAAGGATTGAGAAATCACACATAAAACTAGTTCACCCACTTATGCACAATCAAATGGCTCAATTGAACGACATGTACAAACAATTGAAAAATCAATAAAGAAAGCCCTTTATGATGGAAAAGACATGTATTTGACTTCCCTCGAGTACAGAAATACTCCTTTGAGTAAAGATGTTCCATCCCCAGCACAGGTTCTTTTTGGTCTCCGTCTACGTGGTCACATACCTGTAACAGAGAAAATGTTGAAACCCATATCAACATAAAATTTGAAAAATACTCACCTAAACAGTCAGAAGAAGTAGAAAAATTATTTTGATGTCCATACAAAAAATTTACCTAATCTTTTACCTAATGATAATGTAATGATACAACGTGGTGAAGTTTGGGAGCCAGGAAAGGTTTCAGAGGTAGACAAAAATAGCCCAAAGACTTATCTAGTTCAGTAAAACAATAGTGAAAATACATTATTCAGAAATCGAGAATTTTTTAAATAATTTAATATAAACAATTTTCCTGTAGATGAAAAAAGTATGATGAACTTTCAGATAGCTACCTTATAACAACAAAGGAAGATGATTCAACAAATTATGTTAATATCACAAATTTGCCAAATGTTCCAAGAATTGGAATGAACCTAATATGACAACTAGGTCTGGAAGAATTGTGAATAGACCGACCTATCTCAAAGACTTTGTTTGAATAAGAATAATAAATGTATGTACTGATGTTAGGATTAGGTATTTTAGAAATAGTGTGAAAAGTCCAGAAAAGTATACTGTTAAAAAGGAGATGTTATGATGATAGGTTGCTGATTTATCTAGTACTTTGAATAGTTGTTTTGTGTTCCGTGTCATATATGAAATGTTATAATAACTGTATGTGATTCTATGT